TGTGTGCACACAAGTTTCACTGAGCAAGATGTGGCCACTTGTGTCTTGAAGAAAAAAAAAATGCAGCTTTTCCCCTTAATGTTCAATACAGAGCAGATGGTGTTGTCCAGCGAGAGGTGCGTCTCTGTGCTGCAGGTGAGGGTGGAGTAATAGCTGGGCACCTACCACGCTGTCTGCTGAGATACTTCAGCCCGGAGGGGCACAGCTTGGAAGATGGAGAGAGCTGAGCTGGGCTGACAGCCTCCGTGGTGTGGAACCAGCTGAGCCAGTTGTGGCCGCAGGAAGGAGACCCAGAAAAATGAGTCCAGGGTCTCCAGAGACAGTGTGGGGAACAGATGGAGTCAAAGTAAAACAGTCACCTCTGATACACAGAAAGCTGGCCTTGGACGTGGAGCTGGCCCCCTCATAGCAAGATTAGAAACATTGATTTGAATAATAGCAATGGTGATGGATTTTCAGGAGTGTTTGGCAGTTCCCTCTGGCAGTGGTTTCTGTTGAAGGCATCAAAGGCAGCCCTCGTGAAGGGCTGGCCCTCTTCAGGTGCTTTTTGCTTGGCCTTGTAGTCCTTTGACGGACCCTTTAGCACCTGAGTCCTGCAGCCACAGCCAGTGCTGTGAGGAGAGTGGCTAGGGCTGCGCTGGCCAGGCAGGCTTCCGGAACCTCTGCAGCCTGGAGCCTGCTTGCCTCTCTCACCTCTCCCACCCCCAGCTGCAGTTCTCTCCCGGGTAACCTGTCAATGGAGTGTTTTGCATGAGAATGAATGAGGGCGCCAACCTGAATATTAATTGCCAGGACCCTGGCTGGATACAGCTGCCTTTGTTTGGCTTCCCTCCCCACCCAGGCACTTGGTAGATACACAAAATCCTTAAGTTACTCCTTTTCTTGCTTTCTCTATCTTTGGACCTGCTGTTAAGTTTTTGTTTTGTTTTGTTTTTTTTTAATTCTTAAAAGTGCAGGGTCAGGGAGATAGCTCAGTGGCCTAAATGCCTGCCTGGAAAGTGCAAAGTCCTGAGTTTGATCCTCAATATAAAAAATAAAAGTACAGCAAAGGGTATCCATAGAAGCAGAGATATAGGCCTAGACATAATCGCAGCACGGTACTGTGTCATCTCAAGCACTGTCCATATGCATATCTGTCCCAGAATTTACTCTGCCCTTAATTATATTCATGAGATACAGTGCCTATTCATGAACCCTCAATGAGATTTGAGTAGGGAGAAGGTGATTAAAGGTCAAGCCTGGGGATCTACCACCACACTCTCGCCTAGAGTAGCAGGGATCTCCTGTGTTATTGTTAGGTTATTCTCTGCCTCTCTTAGGATGGTGTAAGGAAGAATGACCTGAGGGTGCTGCTCCAACTTAAATAGGTGGAAGGGAGTGATTTCCTCAGCTCTGTTGTTCTGTGTACACTGTGCACAGACACCAGAATGCAGGCCTGGGTGTACACGTATACGGCACAGGCGCACATGGAGCATACATTTGCACACATCTAAACATGCACAACACAGTCAGCCAGTATATATATCTGTACACATGCCCAACATTCCTCTCCATCTGAAAGTATATCTACATGCATGTGCCCATACATACTCACTGTCCACATCTGCACGGCTCTCTCTTGGAGTCTGTTAGATACAGATCAGACTGTGAGCCCAGCAGTACCCCGGATTCCCATTTGTCACTCCTTTCAAGTCTTGTATGTCTCCAGGTAAACCGAGATACTTGATTTTACCCCAGATTGCAGTTCATTTGAATTTCTGTTAAAATGGTGTGTAGAAGTATCTGTAGATGCTAGATTTAATAGAAGAAAAACAATTCAGGCACACCTCCTCTTCCTTCCTTTCTTTCTTTCTTTTTTTTTTTTTTTTTTTTGCTGTGCCAGGGTACCAGGGTACCAGGTATTAGACTCAGGACCTTGCACTTGCCAGGCAGACGCTTATGCCACTGAGCTATTTCCCTGGCCCTACACTTCCACATTTTGAAAAGAGGTAAAGAGCGGGGAAGATGGCTCAGTGATAAGCGCTTCCTTGGCAAGCGCGAGGGTCTGAGTTCAATCCCCAGTTCCGCCAAAAAAAGAAAAAAGAAAAGAGGTACAGTGTGGAAACATCTCCATGAGTTAGCCCTTCTCAGAATCTGTTCTCCGTTTGACAGTGTACTGATATCCTCCTTTGTTCTGTGGCTAGGCAGCTGCTCAACTGAGTTTTGTCCTCTAAGCCATCCTTTGCTGCATTTGAGTTGTCTGGAAAAAAACTTCAAGCTAGATATTTCCATAGGTATCCACTTGATCCCACATGAAATCAAACTCTTGTGAGTTGGAGTAAGCTCTTTTATCTGGTGGTTTTGATAAAGTACGTGATGGGTTCCTGGGAAACATATTCCCAATCCTTGAGCACTATAAGCAAAGAATTGCAAGTCATGCACACAATAAAGAAAGGAGTGAAGAAAAGGCGTGGTTACATTTATTGAAGTGAACAGGGCAAGGTGCTCTTGGTGAGTGGGTTTGTGCCTGGGAGAAATGAAAAAAATGGCACTAGCGTGGAGAGAAGTGGCACAGGGGACGAGGGAGACAAGGAATGGGATAGAGGCTTCTGCATTTGAAAACATGTGTCCTGCCTGAGGTGCCTGTCACCGTTTGGGTCCTTCATAATTTGATTGACAGAGAACTGAGCCATCCCAGTTGTGTCCTTTCTAGTTGTACTATCGCTAATAGTATAGTTGCAGCTTGTTTTTTGTTTGCTTACTTGTTTGTTTTGTTTGTCGTATGGGGGTTGAACTCAGGACCGTGGCTTGCCAGACAGATACTTACGCTACTGAGCTGTATCCCTGGCATTACAGCCTGTTGAGCTCCTCTGTCTTCTTCCAGATGTTGAGGACTTCGGTATCTGGCTTTAGGATGCTACTGCCTGTCTCCCTCTCTGCTATAGAGATGTAAGAACACTTGGGACCAGGCCTAGGTTTGTTCCGTGCCAGTGCATCCGTGACCCTGGAGGGGATTACCCCCTAACCTCCTGCACCGGAGCAAAGACCGGCATCCGCCAGGCACCCGTTCCCAGTGTTGCATACCACGTCTGTAGCACTGAGACCCCCACATATCATCTCCAGATGGTGCCAAGGCATGCGTTCAGAGGCAGGTGTATCTGCTAGGCCTCTGGCCAGTCCTGGAGCGAGACTCCCCAGGGCTGGGTCTAACTGAGTGACTTGGTTACTTTTCTCCCATTGCTGAAACAGAAATACCTGACACCCCGAATTAAGGAAGGAAAGGTTTATTTAGCTCACAGGTTGTGTAGGTTTCAGTCGGCTGGCTCCCAGGCAGAGTGGCACATGGCAGAGGGTTGTAGTTAATGGAAAGAAGCCAAAGCAGAAAGAGCAAACTGGAAGGAGCAGCAGAGAACAAGCCTGTCTTCCCCCCGTATGCCGGCCACCCTCTGCAGGGCAGATGTGGCACTAACGCTCATAATCGCAGCATTAGATAATGGATCAGTCAAAAACTAGAAGTCCACCCTACGGCTGTGTGAGTGTGGGACATCCAGACACAAACCACGGCACTGGGCCCCCTCTGTTCTGCCTCTTACCGAACAGGTGGTGTCTTTTCCTGGTACTGTGTTTATCTCCTGGGTACTCGAGTGCTCATATGTCATTTTCTAAAAACTAAAAGCACTTGCCTTAAATTGGAGGCTTATTTTGTTACCTTTTGGGCTGCAGGAAATAGTGTACAGCAATCCCTCGCTATTTCGCAGTTCGATTTTCAAGGACTCACTGTTTTGCAGGTTTTCAAAAAATACTAATCTAAATTATTTATCGTGGATTTTTCACTGTATCACAGGATTTTGTGGTACTGTTCATTATAGGTATGTTGTTAAAATTACTAAGTTTCTGGTTTAGAAAATGGTTAAGAACATTGAACATGTTTCTAAAAGTGTGGCAAAGGTTTATAAGAGTGCGGGAAGGGTTTGTAAAGCCTTAAACACACACACACATACACACACACACACACACACACACACTAAAATAAATATATCGTCATTATGCTGATTTTCACTTACGTGGGGGTATCTGGAATGTAACTCCCACAATCAGTGAGGGACCACTGTACAGGCAAAGGCACAGCAGGTTGACTTGTGCAGATTTCGTAGGTAGAGCCCTTGCATGTAAGCAGTGGCATGGATAAGCACACATATGAAGCCTGCACGTGTGAGGAGGCACATGTATGTAGTGTGGTAAGATGTTGAGAAGATTCACAAGTCATAACTGACTTCTAAGTCATAACATTCCAGTAGATTTGTTTTTATTTATTTATATTTTTGGTCCTAGGAATCGAACCCAGGGCCTGTCTTTTGCCAGGCAGGCACTGTACCACTCAGCTACATCCCCAGCTGCACTGTTGGATTTCAAAGATTTATGACTGTGTTGATTTCTACACCATCTGAAGAAAATGTACCCCAGTATATACACTGGTTTCCTAGAAGCAATATGAAAGTACTGCAAATTGAACTAAATAGTTCTGAGTAGAGCTATACATTTCCACCTTGTTTTCTACAATTTAGTGCAGTTTTTTAAAATAAAAGACTATGGATGTGTATGTGTGTATACTGTATCTGATGTGTGGGCACGTGTGTCTTGATTCATGTACAGCACCACATGTAGTGTCCTATTGTCTGATGTGTGTTTGGAATGCTGCCTTTCATTGTGGAGACAGGTCTGTGGAAGCATATATGGTTTTAACTCCCTCAAGCGAATCAGAGGGACTGTCGAGATGTGGACTGGCTGGGTGGGGTGGTGCATGCCTGTAATCCCAGTGCTCAGGACGCTGAGGCAGGAGGAGGATCTTCCAGAGCTTGAGACCAGTCTTGGCCACAAACTGAGCTCAAGGCCAGTGCAAACTGCATCGCGAGACCCTGTCTCAAACAGCAAAAAGTATAACAAAGATGTGGATCTAGTCCCACGCAGGGACGAGGTATCTTGTGGAACCTGTGGCTGACTATTATTCCTTCTTCCTCTAGACAAGCAGATGCCCAAGGGCCTGAGGCCAGTCCAGCAGCACAGCAGGACCCGCCAAAGCAGAGCACCCGGCCCCCATCCACGGTGTCTGGCACAGCCACGACTCAGGAAGCCCCCGAGCTGCCACAGGCAGGACGGAGTCGAGCAGGAACCCTGCCCCGAGATTATAGGTACTCAGAGGAGAACACACCTGCAGACTTGGGACCACAAGCACAGCGTGCCCCCTCGCCCCTGCCAGTTCAGGGACAAGACTCATGTCCAGTGAGCCTCGCCGCACCCCCAAAGAAACCAGCCCCACAGAGGCCTCCACCGCCCAAACGTGAGCCCCGGAGGCACAGAGCTCTGGAAGTGGCACCTGAAGACACTCACCCGGCTGTCCTGCCACCTGGCTCTCTGAATGCTGCCGTGACCTGCCTGTCCCTGCTCCATAGCCCCGCTGTGTTCAGCAGTACCCAACCCCCAGAGATCCCGAAGGCCACCACCTGCGAGCGTGACGGCCAGCATGTGAAAGAGGACACGCTGTGTCCTCGGCCAGAAGCCCCGCCCTCTTCCAAGTTCCAGCGCCTGCAGGCATCCACCATGGAAACCTCTCGCTCCCCCTCGCCTCAGTTTGCCCCCCAGAAGCTGACAGACAAGCCTCCGCTGCTCATCCACGATGAACATTCAACAAGGTATTGTCCCGCTCGGGGCGTCCTGCACACTCCATTTCTGCAGGCACGGTATTGTATTTCGCGCACTGCCCCTAGGTGGTCTGTGGCTGGTACCAGGCCTTGCCGAGGTCACTGAGTTCGACACTGATCCTGGAAAAGCATGAGTGTCAGGATCAGCTGGAGCTCGAAGTCGGGGTTGCCCTCGTCTGCCGAGGGTGACTGGCCCTTTTTCTTGAGCTGGATGCATTTATATCAGTGATGCCCACAGGCATCTGCAGACCTGGGTGTGGCGATTTTTAGATCGTTTTGTATTATGATCCTAGTCAGGTCTGTCCTAAGTGTAACATCTTTAGGTGAAGTTGGTATTTACAGTGTTGTCATATTCCTTTTTGTTTTGTGTTATTTTTTCTTGCTTTGCCTCACAATATAGTTCAGGCTGGCCTCGAACTCACTTTATAGCCCAGGCTGGACTCAGACTCCCGAAGATCTTCCTGCCTCAGCCTCCCGAGTGCTGGAATAATGGGCATGTGCCACCACCCCCGGCTCCCCCTGCTTTTAACAAAGTTGAAAGTGAGCTGGAGTTGGCATGCAGGTGGATGCCTGTGATCTGATGCAGGAGGTTTGAAAGTTTGAGGCCAGCCTAGGTTACAGACTGAGTTTAAGGCTGGCCTGGAGCCCATCACAGTGTGTTTGGATAAGGGGAAGTCTCTTACTGACAGAATCCTGCCACTCCTCTCGAAGTCATGTACACGGATCTCAGGGTCACGTGTAACCTCCACACCACCTGTGGCCAAGGGCTTACCTCCTCCCTTCCCTGTCTGTCAGTCTTTTCCCCCTCCCCTTTTCCTTCTTTTTTCATCCTAGGCAGCCCTTGAATTCCCTGTGTAGCTTGGGCTGGTCTCAAACTCTCCTGCCTCAGCCTTCTGAATGCTAGGATTACAGGAACGAGGCACTGTGCCTTGCAAAAGCTAGAGGCTTGATTGCTCTCAGAAGCGTTCTTCGATACGTTTGTGTTTCAGTATCGGGGACTGTGTGGGAGCAGAGAGCAGACGAGGCCCCATTGCACAGGATTATCGTTAGCGTTCATTGGCACAGTACAGCTTGGGAGAACCAGAATAGCAGGCAGGGCCACAGATGGCAGCACTGAGCTGTGGGAGGCTTGTGCTCTGGGAGGAGTTGTGTCCCCTTGCAGTGGGCCAGGGAGGCAGGGCCCTCCTCCTCCCTCCCTGCAGTCCTGTTTTCTAATTATGAATTGGTGATCTGGAACCAGTAAGGGTTAATCTATACTTTACTCTTTGTCAGATGTTGAAGAGTGGAAGGGTTGACTTTTTTTTTTTTTTTTTTTTTTGCGGAACCGGGGATTGAACTCCGGCCCTTGCGCTTGCCAGGCAAGTGCTTATTCTATAGAGCTATCTCTCCGGCCCCATGTTGACTGTTTTTTAAGGTAAGAGATCAGTTGGTGTTTAGAGATGACCAGGAAAGGCTGGGGACATAGCTCAGCGGGGGACTGCTTGCCTGTCATATGCATAGCCCAGGATTCCATCCCCAGAACCACGGAGGGAGGCTGGATGGATGGACGGATGGACAGAAAGATGGAAAGACACAGAGACAGACAGATGAGTAGACAGACAAACAGATGCACAAACAGACAGATGGACAGACACATGCACGGATGGACAGACAGACAGACAAAGGTACCCTGCTAGAGGATATATGTTAACCACTGGAAGATTTGTTTTGGTTACTTGATTTTTTTCAGTTATGCTCTCCTTCAACAGAAATCAAATTTCTCTGCAAGAGAGGAAGGATAAAAACTGAAGCTGGGTTTATAGTAATAGATGACCAGGTTTTCTAAGTACAGAAAGAAGTGAACATAGAGGCTTTTAATTATTTGTTTATTCTTGCTTGGCTAAGATGCCCTTGCAGGGTTTGGCTTTTTTGAGTTCAATAAATCTAAACAAGATTTTCCAGAATTTTAAAAAGTTATTCTAGAGGAAAGAGTTTCATCAATTGTATCAGAATTCCCTGGCAAAACATATCAGCTCTTAATGTATCTCCAAGGAGGGAAGAAAGTAGAAAATTGTTTCATGTGAGCACTGCACCACAGCCTGATGAGGAGTTAGAGCCATCCTGTAGCCCTCTAAGTGATCCAGTTAAGGGGTGGAAACCAGCATTTCACATAGAAAGAAATGCTTTTTTTTTTTTTTTTTTTTTTTTTTTGTAACCAGGAATCAAACTCATGACCTTGCGCTTGTCAAGTCGGTGCTATGTGGCTGAGCTGAAAGCCCAGTTCAGGGATGGTATCATTAGCTCTTTGCTGTAGCTTCCCTTGCCCCACACAACACTGGCTCTTTTCTCCCGTTCCTGTTTGGACTTAACTATTTTCCCCTTCTGAGACCAGCAGGTGGTGCTGTTGTCCCAGGCAAACAGCCAGTCCTGACAGCCCCAGCCAACCCCATTGTACTGGAGTTGTCTGAGGCCAGGTGTCATGATGTTCACTGGGCAGTATCTCTTCATTTTTCTCACTTCCTTCCAACTGCATCAGATGCCTCCTTGACCCCTTTCACCAGGAATCGTGTTATTTTTTGAGACAGGGTCTCAGTATGTAGTAGTAGTCTTAAGTTCAGTGTATAGCCCAGGCTGGCCTCGAACTTGTTGTGGAGGACCACCTGAGCAGCTCCCCTTGAAAGAAGAGCGATTGTCTCCATTTTGACTGAGACTGACCCTGTTGTTACCTTTGACAAATAGATTCCTATAAATAGTAAAATGTTCCGCTTACCTCTAAATTGGTCATGCAAGGTCCAGTGGATTGCTTGCCTGTGATTTTGGTTAGTGGTCATTGTGTTGAGAAGGTCGTGCTATCTGGCCACATTGAGCACCAATTGTAGGAGTCCCCACCAGATACTCGTTTTGGTCCAAGAAGTCAATATTTGTAATCCCAAAGATACATATTTGGAACCCCACCAAGTTAATTACAATCTACCACTCCCAGTGCAGCCCACAGTGAAAGGAAAGACACTAAAACATATTTATCATTATTGGGGTGCCAAGGGGCCCTAAGTCCAACCACGAAGATGGCTTTCTGGAACCAAGAGACTGGCTGCACCCAGGTTTTATTCAGTGGAGGAGTGGCTTGAGGAGGAATGACCAAGAATTGTGGGAAGTAGGTGACTACTGTGAGCTGAGCTAGGTGGGTGGCCTACATTTACCTCTGCCATATGCAGAGAGGATATGCAGAGTAATCTGCATTATCCTATTGACATAATATCTAATGTTTCAGGGGTCTGGTGCTTCAGTTTTGATGTAATCTTTGAAGCCCCAGGAAGTCATAGCCTGTGTCTCGAGGCTGGATCCCAGCTGGCAGCGCAGAGCACTGGCTCTTCGTCTTGTCTCGACCTGGCACACATTAAAGAGCAGTAGGTGTAGGTTACCAGGGAAACACACATGCCACCTTCAAAGACAACCACCTCAGCTAGACCAGTATACGTTGCTTAAGGCCAATTGAAAAGATAAAGAGAAATCCTAGCCAGCTCTGTACATAGCAATACAAGGAAACAGGGTTAGGCTCAGTCGAAGTGGACAGTTGCCCTTCTTTCAAGGAGAGCTGCTCAGGTAGACCTCCACACTTGTGATCCTCCTGCCTCAGCGTCTTGAGTGCTGGGATTACAGGTATGTGCAGCCACACCCAGCAAGACCTGTCTCTTTAAAAGGGAAACAGGTGTCTTTTTTAACATGTGCATGACCGAGACGCAGAGCTGGTGAGTTCCCTAATATTGCAGGATCCTGTCATTGGCACGGCATCGGTGCAAAGGCACTCAGGAAGCGTCTCTACGGGTAGGGGCATTCAGCCAGCCCTTCAGGGCTTGCCCAGACCTCACTGCAAGTCTGTCCTACCAGGAAAGTTTAACTGGGTAGAATTTGTCACTGTCTGCATTATGGTTGGGATAAAAACAAGTAAACATGAACCGCGTGAAACCTGTCACTCAGTCACGCAGCTCTTGCCCCCAAGTCAGTAGCTGTGTGCTCCTTGAGGCTAAAGACCACAGGAGGGCTCTTGTGGGCATACCTTGGCAACCCTTGTAGTGTGTGGGACCCGCAGCAGGCACTTGCTGCTTGCATGGGCCCAGGCAGGACTGTTTTGGAGACTGGCACTTTTCTTCCAGAATTGAGCGGGTGATGGACAACAACACCACGGTGAAGATGGTGCCCATCAAGATCGTGCACTCAGAGAGCCAGCCCGAGAAGGAGAGCCGCCAGAGCCTGGCACACCTGGCCGAGCTGCCTGCACTGCCCAGCGGGCTGGAGCGCGACCAGATCAAGACGCTGAGCACATCTGAGCAGAGCTACTCCCGCTTCTGTGTGTACACGAGGCACGGTGCTGAGGCCGAGGCCCTGCCAAGAGCCCAGCCACCTGCGCCCCAGCCTCCGGGGCCCCCCACAACCCCTGCACAGGACATCTGTGCCTCCCCCCCAGGGCTTAGCTACTCCAAGACCAAAGAGAAGAGTGCAGAGGACTTGAAGTCCGAGGAGCTAGCCAGGGAGATCGTGGGCAAAGATAAGTCCTTGGCCGACATCCTGGATCCCAGTGTCAAAATCAAGACCACCATGGACCTCATGGAAGGAATCTTCCCCAAAGACGAGCATCTCCTGGAGGAGGCTCAGCAGCGGAGGAAGCTGCTCCCCAAAATCTCCTCTCCCAGGACTGCAGAGGAGAAGTGAGTAAATGCTGCCCCCCAATGGGTTTGTGATTCTGCCCACATTTCTTAAGATTCAAAAGGGAGGAGGAGGGCAGATCTGTCTGTGGCTTTCCTTGATTGCTGTCTCAGGCTGAGACAGGTCTTCATAGGAGCCCCCAGTTCTTGTGACTTCTCTGCAGGTATCACTAGAGAGAGGCAGGGCTGCAGGCGTGCCCATGTAGGGCGTGGCGAAGGCAGGAAAACCTGTGCAGCACCTAAAGTCCTCAGCCAGCCTGATCAGCACGATGCCTGCAGTGTCCCTTCCACTAAGACAGGCTTTTGGGGAGGCCACTGACTGCCCCAGGGCCATCCCACCAGGAGGAAAGCTCCTTATCTGTCATGGGAAGAGACCAGGTAATGCTCTCAGCCTGTTTTAAAAACCAAGAAACAAGACCGGGGCATGGTGGCGCACGCCTGTAATCCCAGAGCTGGGGAGGTTGAACACAGGATCACTACGAGTCTGAGCTGCGTAGGGAGACCCTGTACCAAATACATTGCACAGCAACAACAAAGAAACAAACCTGAGGTAGAAAGGACCCAGAGAAGGTGTGGTGGTCCCTGGAAGTCTCATCTGCACCAAGGATGGGAGACTTAGTCCATAGGCCCACATTTACCTATTGCCACAGGGAAACCGCAGGCCAGTTTGTTGGGGGGGAAAATGATGTATTGCCCTCTCTGTGAATACGTTGGTTTAGTTAGTCTCATACACAGCATTCATTTGACCAACACAGGAGTGCAGTGACATCTTTCCTGTCCCTTTCATGTTCTCTGTCACCACAAGTATCACTGGGGTGGAATGGTAGTGCCTCCCACTGAAAGACAGCAGAGGAGAAACAAGGACAGATCTAAGCTGGGCTCTAGGGGAACCAAGGAGAGTGCTTGTAAAAGGGTCAGCATCTATAGTGTCACCTACATCCTGTTCTTCCTTCCCCTCATCCTTGACACTCCCAGCTCTCCTTGACACTCCCAGCTCTCCTGAACACTCCCAGCTCTCCACAGGTACTCTGGGCTATCACCTCTGCAGCACAGATTTTGAGATGGTTCTGCTTGAGATTTTTGTACTTGGTAAAAACACGCCCAGGACTAGAAATAGAGCTCAGCTGCCCAGTGCCTGCCGGGCAAGCACTTCAGTCCTGAGTTTGATTCTGGGTACCAAAACCAAAATCGCCCCCACTCTGGCTAGGAATGTGATGGCCCCGTGGGAGAGCGCTTACCTAGCTTGTGTGTGGCCTGAGTTCAGTCCCCTGCTCTGTGATATGAAATAAACAGTAAAATCTACTCACACAGACTTTGTGAGCACCTATTCAGCAAGTTTTGTTACTTTTTTCATTATAACCGGGTTACCTACATTTTTTTGCCTCCTTTGGTGGTCTGATCTTGGCTGGTGTCCTCCTGGGGCCAGCTTTCATTTGTCACAACTCAGGGAGCAGGTTTAAATGGTGCATCTGTGTATACACTTACAGCTAAATGAAGTTCTGACCTTTCTACCCAGGAAAGACGAACCAAGTGTGCCAGTGGCTGTGTCCCTGGCCACCAATTCCACCTACTACAGCACATCGGCCCCCAAGGCGGAGCTGCTGATCAAGATGAAGGACTTGAGGCAGCAGCAGGAGCCTGAGGAGGATTCAGGGAACGACTTGGACCATGACCTGTCACTGAAGAAGGTAGGAAAGGGAATTCCACACCAGAACCTCATATTAGAGCCAGCTACTTGGGAGGCTAAAGCAGGAAAATCAACTGAGCCCTGGAGTTCAGGGCAACACCATGTCTAAGCGTGTTTGCATTTGGTTCTCCTGTAGGACAAGGAAATTAACAAGCCCTTCATGATTAAGGGTCTCTCTGTATGATCTAATTTCAAGTTAGTTTAATGCTATTTCAGCTCAACAGCAGTGTCTCTTCTACCACAATGAAAATCCAGGGAAATTGTATGGCCTTTGTGTGTTACTTTTCCTGTCCTCTTTGAATATCGGGTTCAAATACCCATAACCTGATGATTATAAATAAATCCAAAGGTAATCGGAAAGTGCCTTTTGCAGGCCAGGGGTGACAGTGCATGCCTGCAATCCCAGCATTCAGGAGGCTGAAGCAAGAGGATCACAAGTTGAAGCCAGTGTGGGCTACATAGCAAGACCCTGTCTCATGAAAGAAAGTCCTCTGTGAGCCAAAGGCATCCTGTGTTCAACTCCCATGTACTTGCAGCTGTAGCCGTAGACAGAATACAGAGTAGGGTCCTTCTCTGAGGGAGTCTCTGTCTTCATGGGAGGCGTGGACACCATCACAAAGGTAAACGTGCTATACAGAGCAGGCCCAGCAAACCAGGCCCATCCCTTGCTTCTGTAAATAAAGTTTTATTGAAGTACAACCACATCCTCTCATTTGAATGTGTACTGTGGTAGCTTTCCTAAGACAATAATCAAACAGAGCAGTCGGGACTGTGATTGTATAGCCTGCAAAGTCTGAACTGTTTACCGTGTGGCCCTCAACAGATGAAGTTTGCTATCTCTTGATGTGCTGCTCTGTCGGGTTGTGGGAACAGTCAACATGGGGTAAGAAGATAGGGTGACAGATGGGTGTGGTTGTAGCGAGGGCTCTGCAGAGGTCTTGCCTGAGGTGATGGGACCCGAGGGCTGAGCCCTGGCAGGATCCGGTGTGAGAGGGAGAAGGAATGGGCACCTGGGTCCTGAGGAGAAGCAGCAGGGACAGCAGGAGGGAGTGGGTTGGAGAGAACATTAGAACAGGACTAAGAACCCTTTACAGGTGACACTTGTGGCGCTCACTATAGGGACCGAGTTAGCCAGCATCGTGCCTTATAGAGACCTGACAAGGACCGGGAAGTTTCTATTTGTAATCCCTTGGAAAAGTTAGTGGATCCTGCCAAATTAATTCCAATCTACCATTCCTGGTGCAACCCACGGCATAAATAAAGCCACAGTAGTATATCCCAAATGGTGGGGACCCAAGGAGTCCTAAGTCCAGCCAGGACAACAGCTAACCAGAACAAAGCCCTCAACCCAGGGCCAAACCCAGGTGTTACTCAGTTGTGAAGGAGGGAGCAGCTTGGGGTGTGTGGCTGTGAGAATGGTGGCAGGTAGGGGGTGCTCTGAGGTGGGCTAGGTAGGAGGCCTGCATTCACCTCTGCAATATGCAGCGAGAAGGATATGCAGCAAGAGTAGTCTGCATGACACAGCGGAGGCAGCTTGTGAGGTTCTGGGGTCAGTGCCTCAGCTCAGACGTGCAATCTTTTGTGCCCTGGGAAGTCACAGCCTCTTAATCTGGAGGCTCATCCCACCCGACAGCTTGGAGCATGGAGCATGGCTCTCCATCTGACCCCAGGGCCAGCAGTTCACACATGTTTGATTTGGGAGCTACAGGGGGTGAGGCACTGCACCATCCCTTGCTTTAGAGACTGCACCGAGGCTGAACTAATTGAAGAGATAAGGAAAAGTCCTAGCTAGCCCTGTATATATCAGTAGAAAAACAGGGCCATATTCAGCCAAAGCAGAGACAATGGCTCCTCCTTCAGAGAACGTCCCCCAGGTGGCGCTCCACAGTTCCTGTGACATTAGCTGAACCTCTCCACATGGGTCAGCAGTCCAGACCCCTGATGTCACGGAGGCTCTTGGTCTGTGTGTGAGGGATGCAGGTATGGCCAAAGACCGGCACAGGGGCAGCGTGTTGTGTGGCTTATTCCCAGGGCATTGGCTGCCTCTCAACCATGAGCCCTGGGGACAGACAGAAAAGAGGTGGTGGCATTGTGCTCGCTGTGTGTGGACCCTGCATGGCAGAAAGAGCATCATAAAAGCTGTGTTTTTGTTTTGTTTTTTGTTTTTTTGGTGGAACTGGGGGTTGAACTCCGGGCCTTTAGCTTGCCAGGCAAGCGCTTATTCTACTGCACTGTCTCCCCAGCCCCTAGCTATTGATTATTTTGACAAGACTTTGTGGATCATTATATTCAAAGGTTGGTTGTATTGTCAGTGATTTAAAAAATATCACTCACTGGGCTGGTGAGATAGCTCAGCAGACTGAAGTACCTGTTTAGGCAAGCTTAGGCAAGTGCAAGGATCGTGGTTTGATCCCCAGCACCACATTCCATGCCAGTCCTGCCCCCAGGGCAGGCTGAGCTGGCCAGAGTCCAGGCGTGGTGGTGCACACCTGTAATCCCAGGGCTGAGGAGCAGGAGGATCACCACTAGTCCAAGTTGCAAAATGAGACCCTGCAACAACCAAATACATTTTAAAAATAAATAGATACCACTGATTTGTGTGTGTGTGTGTGTGTGTGTGTGTGTGTGTGTGTGTGTTTTGGGTTGTTTTGTTTGTTTGGTTGGTTTTTGCTGTACCAGGGATTGAGCTCAAGACCTTGTGCTTGCCAAGCAAGTGCTTCCCCGCTGAGCTATACCCCTGGCCAATTGATTTTTTTTTTCAAAATTTTATTAATAAGCAGATAGCAATGAGACAGTTTCAAATCAAATCGGAAGTACAGTTTCAACAAATAATACACTGCATATATTCTTCTTAGTGGTTAATTGCTGTAC